ACGAGATTGTTCGATGATGAACAGATTGGTTTACCTCTTGAGAGTAAAGAATTTGATGCACCAGCAGTTGGAATGGAGTTTGAGTCATATGATGATGCTTATAACTACTATAATTGCTACGCTACGGAAGTTGGATTTTGTGTTAGAGTGAAGAATTCGTGGTTTAAACGGCGTAGCAAAGAGAAGTATGGTGCGGTGCTTTGTTGTAGTAGCCAAGGTTTCAAGAGGGTTAACGATGTGAATCGTGTAAGAAAGGAAACTCGAACTGGTTGTCCTGCGATGATACGAATGAGGCAGGTTGATTCTAAGAGGTGGCGGGTGGTTGAAGTTACTCTTGATCATAACCATTTGCTCGGTACCAAGATATATAAATCGGGTAAAAGGATAGGGACCGGGACCAAGAGGAAATGCGTATCTAGCCCGGTTTCAGACGCTAAGACGATTAAGCTGTACCGGACTCATGTGATGGATACTGAGAACAATGTGAACCCGAATTCGAATCTGCAAAAACAGTTTCACTATTCCGCTGGGTCGCCCGATACACTGAACCTTAGAAGAGGGGATTCCGCAGCTATCTACAACTACTTTTGCCGTATGCAATTGATAAATCCAAACTTTTTTTACCTGATGGATATAAACGATGAGGGGCGACTAAGGAATGTATTCTGGGCAGATGCTTTCTCTAAAGTTTCGAGCAGATTATTTGGCGATGTCGTATTCATCGACAATACTTATATATCTGCAAAATTCGAGATTCCGCTGGTGACATTTTCCGGAGTGAATCACCATGGACAAACTACATTGCTTAGTTGTGGCCTTCTTGCTGGAGAGACAATTGAGTCTTACCATTGGTTGCTCAAAGTATGGCTCAGTGTAATGAAGTGTTCGCCTCAAACGATTGTCACAGACAGATGCAAGCCTTTGGAGGCTGCGATCTCCCAAGTGTTCCCGAGATCTAATCACAGATTCAGTCTGACACATATAATGAGGAAAATCCCGGAGAAATTAGGAGGGTTGCATAACTACGATGGCGTGAGGAAGGCGTTTACGAAAGCAGTTTACGAAACCTTAAAAGTTGTTGAATTCGAAGCAGCTTGGGGGTTTATGGTTCACAATTTCGGAGTTATCGACAATGAATGGTTGCGTACCTTGTACGAAGATCGAGCTAGTTGGGCTCCGGTTTACCTAAAAGACACGATTTTCGCGGGAATCGCTGCTGCTCGTCCTGGAGAAACGCTAAACCCGTTTTTCGAGAGGTACATTCACAAACAAACACCGTTGAAAGAGTTTCTTGATAAGTATGAGTTAGCTCTTCAAAAGAAACACAGGGAAGAAACTCTCAGCGACATAGAATCTCTCACATTGAACAACACCGAGCTTAAAACAAAGTGTTCTTTCGAGACACAGCTCTCAAGAATCTACACTAAAGACATATTCAAGAAATTCCAAGTAGAAGTCGAAGAAATGTACTCATGTTTCAGCACAATGCAGCTCCACGTTGATGGTCCATTCGTGATCTTCCTCGTGAAAGAACGTGTCCAAAGCGAATCCAACAGAAGAGAAATCCGGGATTTCGAGGTTCTCTACAATAGATCAGTTGGTGAAGTACGGTGCATTTGTAGCTGTTTCAATTTCTATGGATACTTATGCAGACATGCTCTATGTGTACTCAATTTCAATGGCGTTGAAGAAATCCCTTTGCGGTATATTCTACCGCGGTGGAGAAAAGACTTCAAACGGATCCACGGGGCTGATAATGGCTCGACCGGTTTTCTCGATGGCACGGACCGAGTTCAATGGTTTGATCAGTTGTATAGAACAGCTCTTCAGGTAGTTGAAGGAGGAGTGGTTTCTTTGGATCATTACAAAGTTGCAATGCAAGCTCTTGAACAGTCTTTGGACACAGTTTTTAGTGTAGAAGAAAAACAAGAGTAGTATTGTTTAGTGTTAATAGAAGCATTTGTGAAACTTATATCTGTATATACAAAAAAAAATATAATCTTTCTTTTTTAGAAAATTTGCCAAAAAAAATTATAATTTGAAAACTAACAAAAAAATCCTAAATCTAATGGTCTAAAAATTACCATATACCTTATTTTTTCTAATTTTTTTTTTCTTGGTTATTCACAAAAAAAAACCTTTCTTTTTTTCTTAGCTGTAAAGTTTTATGTTTTTTTATTAAAAGATCTGTAATAACAAAAGATGCATAAAGCCAAATATAATGCAAATAGGTAGATTCGGAAAAATAAAAACAGGAATTTTTGTTTCAATTCATAATTTTTTTTTTTTAACTAGGAAACTAACGAAAATTAGTCTATGTGTCATATTCATCATATTCATTATATTTAGGTTAATTGGATAGATTTTAAAGTATTGTTATTTTTGGACTATTCAACCCAATTTCTCTCACACTAATTACCCTTTTTTTTGTTAATTAGATAAATTTATTTAAAGAAAAAAAGAGAAAAGAAAAAAACACCACAATTCAGTTGCTTTGTAATTTAGGGGGGAAAAAAATATGTATGATGTATCCATCTAAATTTCATCAAATTATATGATTATTTAACAAACTCACTTGTTTTTGTTCCTTCTTTTGTCATTAATCACACAAATCACATTTGGTATAATATTATGATCAGTTTCCCATTTTACCCCTATGGGCCTTTGAGACTAATGGGTTTGTATCTAATTACTTTTCCCAAATTTTCAGCCCAAAAACAAAATCTCTAAAACCTGACGATTCCCTTCTCTTCAGGAATCATCATTTTGGCGCAATTTTCTCAGAAATTTTTCCTTCATAAGTTTCTCTGAATCTGTTCATCTTCCACAAATTATGCTTCCCCAGAAAATTTCTCTGAATTTGTGATACAGACTCTTCGATTTTCCCAGCTACAGTTCAGGGAGACGCGAAAAATCCGATCAGAATCAACAGATCCTGGTTAGTTTTTTCGTTGTTTAATCCCTTCAATTTTATAGATCTTCGTTGATAATAATCGATCCGTTTAGTAACCCTAAAACCTTCAAGAAACTTTGATTTTCATGGAATTTTTCACCTAAATTTGATTACGCTTGTGTGCTTAATCCGAAGAATCTGGGTTTGTAGTGTTAAACGAATCGCTATAAGCCCTAAAAGTTTCTCTGTAACAGTGAATTTGTGCTTGCAATTGCTTTAATCCGAATCTGTGTTTAGTAAATGTTGAAGAATCGCTCTAAATTAGTGATTTCTTCTCAAGATTCTTGTTTCTCTCTCTCTGTAACAGTGAATCGAAGAAGATGAAGTTTAAGGCATTTCTAACCGAAAACGGTGTGAATCTATTAGAAAAGAGGTTTCTTCCTGCATTCGAAAAAATGGGGAAAAATTGTTATCTTTTCCTCACTAAAGAACACTTGTTCTTCCTTCATAACCTTCTTAACGGTGATGGAGTTCAATGCATTGCTCAGTTTCGTAAAGACGTTCTCTTCGATGACTATCGTATATCGAGTCAGAACGAAGACCGTATCGCTTTCTCTTTAGATGTTTCGCTTCTTTACCGAGCTGTGAAGAGTAGTGTTAGTATTTGTACTGAGTTTAGCGGCGGATTAGCTTCGAATAGATTGCAGATTAAACTAGTGAAGAAGCTTCCTCCTAACTGTACGCAACCGATGCCTTTCCTTACGTTTGAAACCAAAGGATATAAATCCGCGGTTATTCAAGATGTTCCGATATCGAAACCGCTGTCTAGGTCTCAAGTTATTGAGCTTCAGACTGCTCTTGACTCGGCTCAAGACTTGCCTCCGACTCTTGTTCAGGTACAAGATCCGAATCAGTTACAGAACTTTGTGGATCATATGAAACATGTTGGTGATGTTCTTAATGTTACAATAAGCAAGTATGGTGATCTGCAAGTTCAAATCTCGACGACTTTGATTAGGCTCGGTTCTGAGTTCCAGAGGCTTTTGGTTATCGGTGAGAAATCTCAGGCTCCGGTTGAGGATAGGAACTTAAGCGCTCAGAGTCGGTCAGAGAGAGCGATGGCTAGAGGTGATGCTCAGTCTGTGCAAGTGAGTGTAAAGCATTTTTCGAAGAGTCTTCAATGTCAGTTAACTAAACCAGATTCTGCTTTCTATGGGATTGCTCCTCAAGGTGCTTGCTTGACGGTTATCTTCCAGTTCATGATTCCCGGGACACGTCAAACCGATAAATCAATCAGTCTGCATTGCCGCCTTCCCGTGTTGGATCCAGGTTCCAACTGAAAGGTTAACTCAGGGCTTTATATGATCAAATGTTGTAATTTGCTTGCTTTTATCAGAAAGACTTTTTATAAAAGACCAAATATGTACCATTACAACACTCTCAAGCTCTCAATCAAAGCATCAATGATCAAAATCAAATGTTAAAAATCGAAGAAAATACAAAGAAAAAACACACTTAAAGCTTTTCTAAAAACAAGCATAACTAAAACCAGATTCTAGCAAACGAAAAAAAACATGTAAAATCGAGTAATAGAGATTTGATCTAATCTTGTTCTTGTTTTCAATGATGTTCTACAATTTCCTCTCCATTGTTTCTGTTGAAGAGTGGATTAGCTTCAAGCTGAGACATTTTCTCCTTTGATTCATTCATCAGCATTTCGACCACTTCAGACATTGTTGGTCTCTTCACTATCTCATTCTGAGCACACATAAGCCCTACCAAAACTATCCTTTTCAGCTCTTCTTCCACATACTTTCCATTTAGCCTTTGATCCACAATTTCGCCAAACTTTTTATCGTAAACCAAAGGTAACACCCATTCGGTAATACCTTGTTTTGTTGTTTGGTTTAGCTTTTCTATAGGTCTCTTACCGGTAACCAGCTCCAGCAAAACAACACCGAAACTATACACATCTTCCATTTCTGATTCTTTTCCTGTTTCAGTACATTCCGGTGAGAGATACCCAAGATTATTACCCTTGGTGGCTTTGTTAGCTCCATCTTCTGCATTATCTGGCATCAGTATACCATACCCGAAATCCATAACCCGCGTTTCAAACTCGGCATCTAGCAGCACATTGCTTGCTCTAACATCTCCATGGACTATTCGAGGTGTTGCATGATGGTGTAAGTAGCTGTAKAAAATGAAAAAAAAACAAAAATCAGTCGACTGATAGATAGTTCAAATCTGTATATGAACAAACTAGATCCTGAAGACTTACGCGATTGCCTGAGCAGAAGTTACTGCGATATTCATCCGCCTGGTCCAATCAAGAAGCGACTCAGACGAATGCTGACCATGAAGATGCGAAACCAAGCTCAAATTTGGCATATACTCATACACAATGAGTCGTTCTTGTCCTTCCGCACAGTAACCTCGTACACTCAATAAATTCTTGTGTCGAATACGAGCAAGAATCTCGACTTCTACAGCAAAATCTATCTCTTCTCTACTACTCCATGCCTTCAATCTCTTCACCGCAATCTACAAACAACAAAAACTGTAAACGAAGATCGAAGAGACCAAATATGCACATTGTGATTCCATCCTCACTAACATAAACCAAGTTATATGAACTAAAATCAATACAATGCGGCCTAGGCAAGAACAGGTTTAAAGATCATTACTTGAGAACCATCCCATAGTTGACCCCAATACACACTTCCAAATCGACCTTCACCGAGTTTATTATCGTAATTAAAACTGTTTGTAGCTGCGTGAAGCTCCTTAAGTGAGAAAATCCTCCATGATGGTTCACTCTTCACCTTCTTTTTCCTGTGTAATGAAATCAATCAAATGAAACATCAGTTTCTTTCTTTTCCACTATCAAATCTGAAACTTGAAGATTATACAACAGTAGATTCAAAGATTTCCAACAAAAGTTACAAACTTTTAACACTAAAGAACACATTTTTTAACATGAATCTCGAAACCCTGATTAAGAAGAACAACATCAAGAACAGATTTTGGAGAAATCAGATAAACCCAAAACCATTACTTACCCATCAAATCCTTTACCACAACACAAGCAACTAAAAAATTGCATCTTTGAACAAACCCACAAACAAAAAATCTCAAATTTTCAGCTTCTTTCGTTTCTAGACTCAGAGAGAGAATAAAGGTAACGCCTTTTTTCCTGGAAATTTGTAATAGCGAAGCCAAAAAAAACAGAAATTTTAATGGTTTTTACTTATTGAAGAAGAGAGCAATTTGGAGATGTTAGAGCTGTTTTCACTTTGAATTTGGTTTCTCTTTAGCTGTTTTAATTTGAAAATGTATACTTTTAAGGATTTAATAAAATATTAGTGGGGGAATGATTGTGCATATCTACACATATATGGTTATTTAATTTATAAAGTATTATTAACAATAAAGTTCTTTATCTTATTACTTAGTTAATGTTATTTTGAATTTTGGAAGTTTTCCTTTTCATGACCTGTTGATGTGATGATAATCATTCATGACAACTAATCAAAAAAATAATTCTTAATCACCTTGGTGAATCTGCAATTCAAAAATTATCAAGAAATCTTGCAATCTTTTTTTAAAAGGTTTTATTTTGTGAAAAAGATCACTATATATGGGAAATTATTTGATAGAATTAGATAAA